CCCCAAAACCCCAAAACCCCGAGGATTAAAATCTTGCTAAATTTCTAAATTTTGATTAGTTATATTGAATTATTAGTTTAATTATTAATAAGATTAGAAAATAAAATCTCAATATTCATTCTTGTTATTCTTTAGGATGCCTTGAATTTAGATAATTTACTTGATGGTTTTTCAGATCTAGAATACAATTTTCTCCTTTTTCATTCATTATAAGCCATTCATTAGTGGTCTGATAGTAATACTACTAAGGATAATTTTGATGAAAATTGCACACCATTTATGGGCCTTATATGTACTCTTCAATATAAATCGAAGGAACTTTGTCTTCACCCTAATTTTGTAAGTTTATTTGCATTTTGTAGAATTAAAGAGTCTTAGTTCGAGTCTTTTTAAATTAATTCTCACCTAGGATAATAATCTCTTATTCATTCTTATCCTGAGCTGGTTCTGATGGAAGTATCAATGGTCTTGTGAATTGAAGGTATTCATTGAAATCTTTATAAGTAAATTACTTTGGGTTTTTAATTAGATCATAGTATTCATAACCAGTTTAATTTCCAAACATTACGAATAAATGATCATTCAATACAAAAGCACTGTGCATTGATCTGTTCATTTAAAGATTAGGAAAGTGAGAATCAAGTTATAATTGTAAATTATTAGTAATTGGATCAATCTTCATATGAAATCTATAAGTATATTTTGTGGCTTCTCTATTTCTCTAATATTTTTCACCTCCTGTAATAATGAGTTAATTCTTGTAAATAACAATCGCAGAATTTAAATTGAAACTCCTTTTCAACTCATATACTATGTGACTAGTGTCCTTCTCTCGTTCATACTCAAGAATTTCTTTACAATCCTTTCTCATTCCCATTAATAGATGTCTTAGCTCTAATTATCCATTTTAGTTCATTAGTTCTACATTAAAAAAAGCAAATCCTCCCTTGTCTTTTAATTTTGTTCTAGTCCTTCTGGAAAAAAGATTTCCTCTTCTAGAATTTCAGGTTTATTTTAGTTAAGATGAGTTAGTTTGAGTGTATAAGAATCTTCAAAATAAAATAATGCCTTCTTTATTTCCACTTCTGAGAGAGGTTGAATTTCTCTTTAAAATGTATCTTATGATGGAATTTGATTATTCTCTGAATGTCTTACTACTTAGAAAATCAATGGATCTTAAACTTTATTTTATCTCTATATTTAAATCTTATCTTCATTATTTATTTGGCTGGCTGTATTCATTTAATCTTTAATTTATATTTATTTTGCACATTATTGTTCTAAGTTTTACTAGATCTAGATCATTAAGGGATCCTATTAAATTGAATTAAGAATTTACCGATTAATATTATTCTCTACTTTAACTTCTCCATCCTATTATTAATAATCAAACATTTGTTGCCTAATTTAATTTGTATTTTATAAATAACTAGAATTCTAATGATTTTAATTTTCAATTTTAATTATATCTTGTTAAGGCGGTACTTGATTTTCCTATTTTTATCTTTGAAAAGAATAAGGTTAAACTATTTCTAATTATTCTTCTTATTATAATTGAAAATTTTGATTCCTTTGACTATGAAACCGAGTTCCAAGCATAGATTATTCAAAGCTTGAAGAATATTAAGGTTCCTACTAAAAATATAATTTTCCTTCTTCTTGTTGACATTTTCTAGATTATTGAATCACTTCATTTCTTCTTATTGGATTATCTTTTTCTTTATGTTTTCTAAATTGTAGATTAAATATTGTTCTTAGTTCATCTTTGATAAGATTTTCAATTGCATAGGTAGATTACTCTATACTATTCACGAAATCTTAATGTTTTTACTAAATACTCTTTTCCTAAGATAAAATCTATTATATTCTTTCTTATCTTTACAAATCATTAACTGAGATGCAAATATTTGAGTACAAATCAGATCTATGATGTTTTTAGAAAAAGTCTCATTTTTATCTATCTAATTGAATCATAAAAATTTTCAACTATTTTTCTATAGTAGCTAAAAGCGCTTTGCTTTTTGATTTTATTATTTTTTTCATTTTGTTTAATCTCACCTATGATTCAATCTCTAGAGATTACAAAAGTCTGTTAAAATTCTGAGTATCACTTCTTAGTTACTAGTTTGTTTATAAATCTTTGAGTTTATTGAGAAGGCAAATTTGCATTCAATCCTCCTCAAAATCGTCTATCATTAAATTTTAGGAATCTTTCGGGAGATGATTAGAGTTTGACTTAGCTTCTTAAAGAACAGACTATTGGACTAAATGTTAGTAAAACTAGCCTTCAAGGTTAAATTCCTCATGCCCTTAGTTTAGATCAATGTATTAATTCATTATTTAGATTTATATTATAGATGACAAAATTAATTTTATTGTTAATTATTCTACTTTTATTTTGTTGGACTATTATAATAGCAATAATTGAATATTTCATCTTTATCTAAATTACCAAAATGGATAAGGCATGGGGTTTTGGGGTTTTGGGG